GAAACAAAGTCTTTTTAAATAGGGAGGGATGGAGGGGTTGAAGGGAGGGCAGGGGAAGGGGGAAAAATAAGAACCAAGAGAGTATGTAAAGGTACAAGTACTCAATGATGAATGTAACTGTATTATATACCTAAAACGTACCAATAAACTTAATGAAAAAAAGAAAAGAAAAGAAAAGAAAAAAAAGTGGTTGCTGAGGTTCCAGACAGTGGGACAGAGCAGAACGAGTTATCTGCACCAGAGCTGCTGGGCAGAGATGAAGTCAGAGTTGTTTCTGGGGTTTTGATTTACATGTGTAAATCAGCTTTTGGGCCTCTGAGGTCTGGAAGATGCTAATGACATCATCTACTTCTTCCAGGGGATTCCAGCTGGATGTCACATCCTCTTCCTTCTCTGTGGAGCATAGCACTGTGACATCGCAGGTGCTATTCACAGATATCATTAAACTCTGGCTTCCAAAAATGTGAGCCAGTAGGTGGCCTGGATCTGGCTTGTGCCAGTTTGTGAGCACTAGTCATTAAATTTTCAGAAATTTTGTAAGATGGTTGTTGTTAAATGCAGCCATCATTCAAAATTAAATCATAAAAATTTACACTAAGATTTTCTCAAAAACAAAAGTAATACTAAAATTCATCACTTTCTAATTATTATTATTTTACATTTTAGTGTTACACATGATTTTGAGGTTATTTATTGTACTGCACTTTGTAATGGTGTACTACTGGGCATGTCTTCCCAACTTCACATGACTTGAAATCAGCCTTGGTAGAAGGGTTCACCTAAAAAAATTGGCAAATGGTACAAACTAGGGTTTCTTTTCTTTTGTTCTGGGATGAGATCTTGCTGTATTGTTCAGGTTGGCCTTGAACTCCTGCACTCAAGTGATCCTCCGGCCTGAGCCTCTGGAATAACTGGGACTGCAGATGCATAGCACTGCATTTGGCCAAACTAGGACTCTATTTATGGTGTGTCACTCTAGACTTAAGAAAGTGATGGAGAAAATGTTATTAAGTGTAGAGTCAGCTTAAAGGGGGGTCATGTATATAGCCATTACATTGTGACTAGCACAAAAAATGAGGCATTACTTTCTGGTATTTGAAAACCAGTATCCAGATCAGCAAAGAAGTCACTCATATTATTGATGAATGACTAGAGGGCCAAGATAGAAATCTTTGTCAGAAAACTTACTGCTTAACCTAAATGAAAATATCAACTAACATTCATGTCAGAACATTCAAGTTCATGAATAGCAGCTATAGGTTGTCTAAGGATACAAGTGCTTGGCAAAAATCAACAAAAGTATTTTGTGACAATTTGGTTGTATTCATTTTAATAGTTGTTTCCTGATGTATGTGTGTTTTGTTTAAGTTTTCTGTTTTAAACTGTCCACTATGAAGCACTAAAGCTTTTAAAAGCCAATTTAAACAATGCCTTTACTAAAGCAATCTAAAGGTGAATTTTAGGTAATGACTAGATCTGGAACTGGCAGGATGAAGTTCTTTTTTTTCACTCTGGGAGATAAGAAAATGAGCACACTTAGATTTTATAAGCTTAGTTCATTCTTAGAAAAGCTATTGCCATATGAGGAAGGAAATATAAGAGTCCAAAGGAAATGGCATTATAGCTTTCTAATTACAATAAGCCCAGAAAGGAAATTCATTCAGCAATGTAATATAGAAATCACCAGTAGTGGTGAACCTATGACATGTGCGCCTGCAAGCCAAGTCACCCCAGCAGCCAAGCATCAAATAAGTTGTTTTTTTCTAAACTAAAACCTCAGTATTCAGTTTTCATTGCAGTGTGGGCACTTTGCGGTAAGTAAGTGGGCTTGGGGTTGCAGTTTGGGTGCCCTTTTCTAAAAAGTTCACCATTACTGGTCCAAACTAAACAGAAAAACCTGGCCCTAAGAACAAAATTGCAGAGCAGATTTAGTGATCATTTGGGAAAAGGCTTTCTAGAGTTTTGAGTGAAGACTTTGGTTGTTTTAAGTTATTAATACTGATAGGGGTTAGTGAAATGGAACCAAATGTTCCTGTGTGTGTACGGGGGGGAGTGTTTTCCTGCAGTAACTTTACCTATTTTTCAAAATAACTTTTTTCTTTTTGGAAGGTGTTGTGGGGAACAGTGATGATGAATAGGGTTCTTTTCTACTTTTCTGCAGGAATAGACATGATATTCACAAAACTGTTAGCGGACAGGTCTTTATTCCCCCAAGAAAGAGCAAGGAAGCCAGGGTTAGTTTAGAATTGCTTAATTAACATCTGGCTGAGCTTTAGTTCCCTCATTTACCACATAAAGCTGACAATAGCCTTCTTTAATATATAAAGGCAGATATCTGGCTATGACCGATTGTTATCTATGGAGACAGACAGGTCACTGCATCTGAGCAGGGAGATGGACTATCTTTTTTTTTTGGTACCGGGGATCAAACTCAGGTCCTTGAGCTTGCGCAGCAGGTGGCGAAACCACTGAGCTAAATCCCTGGCCCCAGATGGACTTTCTCCTTAAATTCATGGCTGAAGCACTGCTTCAGTGGTAAACACTCCAGTGAAAGCAAAAGAGACCAAAGGCCAGGCAATGTGGTGCTCCCTGTAATCCCAGCACTCTGGGAGGCTCAGGCAGAACTGCAAGGTTGAGCCCAGCCTGGGTAATTTAGCAAGACCCTGTCTCAAAACATAAAATGCAAAAGGGGCTAGGAATGCAGCTCAGTGGGAACACCCTGGGCTCTAGCCCTTGTACTGCCAACAAAGGAAGGAAGGAAGGAAGGGAAAGAAAGAAAAAGCAAACAAGTAAATATCATTACTCTGGTCTCTATGACGTTCTTGCTTTTAAAGGTAGCGGCAGGCAATGTTGGGGCCCAGGTACAGTTTTAAAAACTTCTTTTTTCGGTACCGGGGATCGAACTCAGGACCTTGCACTTTCCAGGCAGGCGTGGCGCCATTGAGCTACATCCCTGGCCCCACTTTTTTTTTTTTTTTTTTTCAAACGGTCTCGCTGTGTATTGCAGGCTGTCCTTGAACTCACTATGTAGCCCAGTCTGGTTTCAAACTCGCAGCGATCTTCCTGCCTCAGCCTCCCGAGTGCTGGGATTACAGGCGTGCGCCGCCGCGCCTAGCGTGAGCTAAAATTTTGTGTGACGCATTAAAATTTTTTGAGCTGGGCTGACAAGATTCTGACCCGAAACGTGGCTTTCAGGAAAGGATGGTGAGATGGGCAGCGTGTTTATTATCATCAGGCCGAGGGCTCCACTTCGAAAGAGATCCAAAGCTAGGACCGGTAAAGCTCCCTGGGACAGTCGGACCAGTCAGGCGCAGGTTGGTGTCTAAACGCAGGCTCCCCCGGGTCTCACTGGGGATGGAGTCACTCCGGAACTCCTTCCGGAGAGTGCAACCTGTTTGGGAGCGCGGGTGGGATCCGGCGTGGTCCCCATTCCCAGGCTTTAGCCTTGTCCAATCACAAAATCTCCACAAGAGATCTCCCTTTCCCGGGAGTCCCTATTGGTCTTTTCTGCAGCTCCCGCTTCTCCTCTGTGTCCCTGCTTCGCTTGTCGCTCCCCTGCGTGTAGCCAATGAGCACCCCTAGGTTGGGCTACTGGGCGAAGAAGGGGCGGTTCCTTCCCACGCATCAATAAATGCGCAGACTCCTGGGGTAGGGGTGGGGCTGTACCGGAAAACAAGCCAATCGCTCTTTCTCGGTGGCTGGCGGCTCTGGAGGCAGTTACTCGCTCGCTCACTTCCTCAAGATGGCGGCAGACAAGGACGGCGGTGGCTTGGGTGAAGTGGCTGTGGGGAATGGGCGGCGGCTCCACCTAGGGATTCCTGAGGCGGTGTTTGTGGTAAGGGTCCCGCCGTTCCCTGGCATCTTGGCTCGCGGCCGAGGACTGTTTCTTTGTGGCCCTCACCCAAGCCTAGAGTTGCGGGGAAGGAGCTGACCCCTCGGCCACTCTTCCTCCCACTCAGGGCGGACTGGGCTGTGTGGGGCTGGTCCTGAGGAAACGCAGTCCGGGGGCTGGAGGGAGCCGGGCGGGCGCTGGGAGGACGGGCCGTGGCCCCGAGGTGGCCTCCCTGCGGGAAGTGGAGAGGACCCTGGGGCGAAGGGAGGGCGGCTGTGCCGCAGCCTGTGCGGGTCGGGCTCTGGTGTCCGGACGCGGGTGGTAGGCAGAGGGCTCCAGTTAGAAGGTGTCTTGGGAAAACCACCGTGTAGCCCTGCTCTCCGTAGTGTGTGATTGTGTAATGTGGGGAATGCGTGGCACGCCGTTGAGGGCAGAGGCGGGGAACGCAATTTGGAGGGGTCGCAGAATCGGGAGGCCAAGCCATCAAACAGAAGCGAGTGGAAGCTATGGACCATAGTCTCTCATCAGGCTATCCACAGATAATTTGGGAAGCTATTAAAATAATGACAGTGAACCTCTGAATGGCTTTCCATGCCAGCATCATCTACCTTTCCTCTTTAGATGTGCTGCGCTTCTATGAAATTTCAAGGGGGTTTTCTGTGCCTTTTTGTTAATCATGTATAACATCCTTCAGACAACTCATTTCTTTTATTTAGACCACACTTTCTATTGTATATTTGCATTTTGAGATTGAATTTTGTAATTCGTTAGTCTGTGTTTTTTGTCCGAGCTGTGCCATTTAGTTTTTACGTTTATCTCAACTAATTGTAACAAGAAATAGAATTTGCTGAGTGTCAGATACTTTCTTAATTATTTCACAAAACCCTAGAGGGTAGTTATTGTTACCATTATTACCATTTTGAATATAATGAAACACAAATAGAGCACTGGAGTAACCGGCCCCAGGTAGGACAGGATATAGAGGTGTTCTCAATTTGAACTTGGGCAGTCTGTGGGCTCCAGAGCCTCTACCTATCCTCCTGCTCTGCTGCTAGGAGAGCAAGAGAGTACTCTTGCTTCTTGCCATTTCTCCCTATCCTACTATGGTGCCTGACACATAGTATAAGCTCCTAAGTTAAGTGTATAATTAAGTTTCCATACTACTCAAAGTACAGCATCCACAGTGCTCAGCTAGACATGACTTCAGAAATCTAATTCAGGAAAATAAACTTTATCTGAAGCTTTTATAAAGTCTTATAATGCTTTTCCCCCTAAGATTTTAATGGGTTAATTTTTCTAGGACTTAAAACTTCCACCAACATAAGGTAGTAAAGAACCCAAATTTACATAATAATTTTTGTTCCCAAACTTAACAGTGACATGGTATCTTAGAAAGAACATTAGATTCTACACAGACAAGGGTTTGAAACCCACCTTTCTTTCCCAATTGCTGCTTAGCCTTGAACATAACACTTTACCACTCTGAGCCGGTTTCTTTAACTTGCAAGTGTAGTAGGTGCTGAATAGATGTAACTTTCTACATTCATTAACAGGGATTATACCGTAGTCGTTAGAAGTTGTACCTGGCCTTTCCCACAACTCTACTGGTACAGTAATCTTTTTTTCTTTCATTGCTTTAATTGTTCTTTTTACCCTTATCTATCTGATGTACTCTTCATTTTTCATTATCTGGTTCAGATATTACCTCCTTGACGTTTTTCCTGCCCTGTACTTTAGAACAAAATTCTTGGTATTTTGTTTTATATTCCCACAGCGCATTGTGTTTAGAAAGTTTCCATATATCTTCATCTATTTCCTGATCCTTATCTAATTAACTAGCTTTTCTTCAAGGACTAGGTGGTACACATTAAAAAATTTTAAACAGTAAGCTTTACTTTTGCTTATTTCAAGAGATTGTTCTGTTTGCCTTTTAGGTTTATACTACTTTATTTCAACTACTTCATACTTAAGGAAGCATTAGTGGCTTACCTTGGGACCCATCATACTTGGCATGATTTTTATTGCCGAACTTGTTGAATTAAAAATAAGTAATAAAATCAATACTTTTGCCATGCACCATGTTGAATCATATTATGACCAGCACACATGAATAGGCAGTGTGTTTGATAAACTGGTAATTTTCATATGTACAGTACTACTAGGACCAAATGGGAAATGTATAAAGCAAGTGAGGTCATCCTTCTCTCCATACTTCTACAGTAAACAAAAAATAAGGTGAAAGAATAAATTAGCTACATAATGTATATAAATTATCTGAAATGGTCTCTTAATTTTTTCCTGTGCTACTGAGGATTGAATCCAAGGAGCACTGAGCTATATCCCCAGCCCTTTTTTACTTTCTATTTTGAGACAGAGTCTGGCTAAGTAGCCCAGGCTGACCTCCTAACTTTGGATTCTCCTACTACCTGAGACTTGAAAAACTGAGATTACTGGTGTGGGCCCCCACAACCAGTTCTTTAAGTTTTATAACTACTTTTTTAAAAGTTAAAAACAAGCCTTTGGAGAAAAAGAAACAAAGCCGTTTATGTTTTAAAAAGAAAATAGTAAAAAATCAAATTAGTGGTATAAATTCTAAAATTAGTAATTTATGTTTGTTTTTAAAGGAAGATGTAGATTCTTTCATGAAACAGCCTGGAAATGAGACTGCAGATACAGTACTAAAGAAGCTGGATGAACACTACCAGAAGTATAAGTTTATGGAACTCAATCTTGCTCAAAAGAAACGGAGGTAAGTATAACATTTCTTTTTAAAAAAATCTTATAAGGCTTGAACTTTTTTTGTTGTTTTTTTGAGGGAAGGTCTATGGATTATGTGGATCAGGTTGTCCTTGAACTCATCATGTAGCCCAGGTTGGCCTTGAACTCATGATCCTCCTGCTTCAGGCTTCTGAGTGCAAGGATTACTGGCTTGCACTCCAGGCTTTACATAAAATAAAATATCTGTGTATCAAATGTTTAGTTTGATGAATTTTGACAAATGTATCCAGCTCTCTCCAGAATTGATTCTTGCCCGGATCAGACTATTCCATCACCCCAGGAAGTTCCTTCATGACTTTTTCTAATCACACTCCCTATCTCCATAACCACTTTTTCCCCACAATGAATTAGTTTTGTTTGTTCTTAGACTTCATATAAATGGAAGTATTGGTAGTTACTGTTTTGTTTCAGCTTTCTCATACTTAGTGTAATACTTTGAAAATTCTCTTTGATATTGTATGTATTAGTAAATTAGTTTAAGTGCTGAGTTGTGTTCGATTGTGTATAGGTTTACTGCAGTTTTAATATATTTTAATCTGTTTGCCTATTGGTAGACATTTGGAATACTTCCTCCTTTTGGCTTTGTCTTGATGTGAGCATATATTTTCATTTCTCCTAGATAATATCTAGAGGTGGAATTGCTGAAGTGTATGTTTGATTTTATGAGAAACTGCCAGAGTCCTCCCAGGTGACAATACCATGTTATGTTCCTACCAAGAGTGTATGAGAGTTACAGCTGTTTCACATTACTAGTCTAAGGATAGTTTTGCAAACATAACAGAATGAATATTGAAGACTTTATTCCAAAGAATCTAGGATGATAGCGTTGATCCGTCTAATTTTGCTAGTGAAAGATCCATAGGGATTTGACTTTTCCAAGATTTCATGAATAGGCATAGGTCAAAGGAATCCTTGCTCTCAATTTGTACTACATTTTTTATATAGCTTATAAAGTGAATTCACTATAATATTTGTGTATATTTGCATTGTGTAGGTCTCAGTATTCTGTCAGTTAAATATTCATGGAATATCAATCACATGCCACATGAAATAAAGTTTAGTATCTGCTTTCAGTACAATACAAGGACATAGTCTAGGGTGTATGCTAGGTATGTAAATAAAATAAGTAGTAGAGATGCTTTGTTACTAAGTCCTAAGTTAGCATAGGGCAAAGCATGATCTGGAAGAAGCTTCCAAGAGCAGCAGATGACTAACATTTCAAAGGTTGGATATGAGTTAGGAGGCAGGTGAAAGGGAAGAATAGTCTGAGCATGAGGTCCGTAATTTTGTTTTTAGATAAATATTATCATTTGATTTTGGTGAAAATGGAAGAAATTTGAATATGGAGTGAATATTAGATGAGATGAAAAGTCATTGGCATGGACAAACAGCAGGATAGATAGAAAACACCGAACAGTATGCTCTCATTTTAGAAAACTTTCAATGCACACAAATATCTGGAATGACCCACACTAAAGGTGTATTAACAGCTAGGTATGGTGGGGCACAGAGGATCTCGGGTTTGAGGCCAGCTTGGACTACATAGTGAGTTCAAGGCCAGTCTGAATTACAAAGTGAGAACCTGCCTAAAAAAACCAGAAAGAAAGAAAATGTATTAGTAGTAATCTGTATGGTAAAAATGCAGTATTTTTCTTATTTTGGCCTGTTTGTATCTTTATATAATGTACATACATGTACTGCTTTTGAAAGTGTGTTTTTTCTTTGGTACCGGGGATTGAACTCGAGTCCTTGAGCTTGCGCAGCAGGTGGCGAAACCACTGAGCTAAATCCCCGGCCCCACATGTACTGCTTTTGTGATGATGAAAGTTTGTTTTTATTTTTAAAACGAAGAATAAAGTCATTAGATTAGAGATAACCTACAGGAAGGTTACATAGAGAAGAAAATGAACTTGAGATCAAGCCCTGGGGAAGAGGGGGAAATTTGTGTATCAAAGAAAGTTAATATTGCTAACTCTAGTACTGTGGTATAGTAGGACGCTCACTCCAGCTTTACGTAGGCTTTATGCCTTAATGTGGGGGTGGAAATTACAGCATATACCTATACCCTTCCTAACTAACTAGATATACTTGGGATACGTTAGTGAACTAAACAATGTGTCTGTTCCTGGGGAGATCATAGTCTAGTGAAATCTAGACACTAAAAATTCAGTAATTATTTATTGTGTACCTAACATGTTCCAGGCATCATCCTAGACATTTAAAAACAAACAGGTGAAATTTTGTGTCCTCATGGAGATGACATTCTAGTGAGAGAAAAATTTATATTGTAGGTTACAAGGTGCTTAGGTGCTACGCAAGTAGGAAATAAAGAATGAAGGATGTGAATGTCAGGAGGTAGCAGCGGCTAAGTGTTTTGAGAAGGTGAATAACATGATCAGACTACGTGAATCGCTTGGGTTGTTGCTTGAGAATCTCAAGGGCAGAAGCAAAGCCTTTTTACTAATGAAGCTAAGGTTGATGATGACTTGGACCAGGGTGGTAGCAGGGAGAGGTGGTAGGAGAGAGTCAAATTGTGAATCTAGTTTGAAGTTGGAACCAGCACGATGTGGTAGATTGGAGGTGGGTTGTAAGAGGGAGGCATGAAGGTGCCTCTGAGGTCCAAGTTGTTAAGAGAGTAGTTGTCTGCGATGGGCAAGAGTGGGGAGATCAGTTTTGGACACATTTGAGAAGCCTTTTGGACATCCAAGTGGAAATATTAAGTAGGCAGTTAAATATATGAGTCTGAAATTTGGAGAGGTCTGGGCTGGAGATAAACATTTGCAAATCATCCGGAAAAAAATCAAGATTAAAAAGAAACTGCCTATGAGGTTAAAGGGAAACCAGGAGACTGGGATACTGGAAGCCAAACTAGGAAAATTCACAGAGGAGGAAATGATCTGTGTCAAATAACTGCTAATGGCAAAGGTAAAATGAGAACTGAGAATGGACTTGAACTAAATAAAGTGAAAGTTATTGGTGTTCTAGATGGGAATAGCACCTGTCAAGTGTTTTAGAAAAGAGTGGTAGAATAATTGGACAGAGTGAATGAAGAAAACTTTCTTGAGCTGTACCTATTTAATAGTGGGTTGGTTCTCTTTATTTGTAGTTCTTTTTATGCATTGGATACTGTTATGGTTTACCATTAGAACATCCCCCCAAAGCCTCATGTGTTTAGAGGTGGGGCTTTTGGGAGATGAATGGATCGTGGGGGTGGTGTACTCATAAGTGGGTTAATCTGTTGAGTTTTATAGCTAAATGTGCTGTTAGGAGACGGGGGTCTGACCTGGAAAGATGGATCTCCCTCTCTGACTCCTCCCTTCTCTCTGCTTTCTGGCTGCTATGATGTGAGTGGCTTCCCTCTGCCAGACTTTCCATTCTGCCCTTCTGGCTTTGGATCCTGCCGACTATTATGGACTGAATCTCTAAAAACCTAGAGCCAAAATAAAACCTTTATTCCTTTAAGTTGTGGGTCTTGAGTGTTTCGTCCTAGTGATGAGAAAGTTATTAAGACAGATACTAATCCTTCTAGGTTAGGTATTAGTTTTTGCATTGCTGGGGCACAATACCTGACTCCTACAACTTAAAGGAGGACAAGTATAATTTGGCTTTTGGTTTTAGGGCATTCAGTATGTGATCAGCCAGCTTCAAGGCAGAGGCATCATGGCAGAAGGGCCTGGTAGAGCAAAGATGCTTTAGTTCATGGCATCTGGGAGGCTGAGCAGAGGAACAGTGCCACAGAGAAAGGGGCAAAGGATCAGACAGCACCCAAGATCACACTTCTGTGACCCACCTAGCCACACCATCTCTTGGGTGGTTCCCAAGCCAGTTAGGTTGACATAATCAAGCTTAACTGTCACAGGTTGTATGTATGAGAAATTGTTCTTCCTTTTGTAACCTGTTCTTTTTTATTTCTTTATGATTTCTTGTGATTAGTAGCTCTTAATTTAAATGTTTCTTCTAGTGGTTTCATAGTTTCAGGTCTTGCATTTAAATCCAAAGATCTCTTCTAAAAACCTAGAGCCAAAATAAAACCTTTATTCCTTTAAGTTGTGGGTCTTAAATATTTCAGGACTGGGGGTATGGCTCAGGGGTAGAGTACTTGCCTAGGATGTGCAAGGCCCTGGGTTCCGTTCCATTCCTCCTTCTCTCCCTCCCTCTCTCTCCCAGCTATTCTAGTTGTAGTCAATAGCAGCATTGGTCTTAACCATCTAATTCATTAGCAGAAGCAGAGTCTCTGTCATAAGCACCGTATCTCTACCTACCTTGGTCTTAGGATTGTAGTTTTGAGTAAATTGACAGAAGCTGTAGGAGTTTCTGCTAATAATTTGTGAAGATATGTGTCCAAACCCAGTACAGTAGACCATTGGAACCATTTCTGCTCATGCTCCTAACCTTAAGTGAACCCATAGCAGCAGAGTGACTTTTTAAAATGTACTTGGAACTATCAGTAATAATAGTTATTGTGTATTACTCCAAAGCGCCTTCTTTAAACAGCCTAGCAGCTATGGTATATTTTTTCATGAATTCTTCCCTGGTACCTTAGGTAGGCAGAAGGAAGGGTGGTTGTAATTCATCATTATTTATTTATTTATTTATTTTTGTATTAAATTCTTTTATTGGTACATTGTAGGTATACAACACAATTACATTTCTCATTGGG